TAACAGGTCTGTTAGTTATTCAGCAGAGGCTGCAGAAAGCCACTCACAAGTGTCATAAAGGCGCTTTATTCTCTCACATCTGTGAGTTCATAAAGTTTTCCTCGTGCACAAAGCTCCTTTCTTATCATAGGCAGCATATAAGAAACTAAAAGTGTATTCCTGTATGTGGAAATGTACAAATAGAGGATTAGATTGTAGAATATTATTGTTTACCGGCTGTGGAAAGACTAGTTAAGTTCCTTTTTACTAATTAAATTTTGATCAGTTGTAGAAAATCAGAATTTGAGAAGTATTTTTTTGTATTTTTATTTGCTAAGCAATGAAGTGTAAACTGTGGACTCATTTACAGGTTTGTGTGGTAAAATAGACTTTACTTTATTTATTAACAAATATGGCCAAAGTCCCAGTAAAACAGGGCCGGTGTTTCATCAGAGAAAGGTTACAGGCGTTAGCACATCCCTGTTTATGAATAATATTGATTTAGCAGCATTTTCATTTCCCTTTTTCCCGCCAGGCAAAAAAAACAGTTGAGTCATCTTAGACGTTAGGGGTCGGTTTTTCTGCTGAGTCATGGCCGTCTGTCCAAAAGCTGATAGAAGAATCAGTTAACTATCTCGCCGGCACATTGAGGGCGAGATCTCTGTTATGCACCCAGGAAGGTTATTTTAAAAAAGGCTAGAAGCCAATTCCACTGCCCGGTTTCCCCTCCAAGCCTCAATAATGTGAACTATGTGGGCCGAAAAGGGATAAAAAGCATCCTTAACCACACAAGTGTGTCACCAAAACTGATCCCTTAAAGCAGGGGTCTTCAAGGTTTTCCAGGCCAAGGACCCCCAAACTTAAGCTGGAGCGGGGACCCCCTAATTATATATATTGTCTGAAATTTTGTTCTATCAAACTGGTCCTATAGTGTGTTCCTTGTTATTGGGCATTCAGTACTAAGATCCTCAGATAATCCACAGGTTGATATCTTCCTGTTTTTACTGTAAACATCTGGTTC